ATCTCAAAGAGAAAACTCCAGATCCAAATGGCTTCACTGGTAAATTTTATCAAAGTTTTAAGGAAGAAATCACACCAATCTTACACATGCTCTTGCAGACAATAAAGGAGGAGGGAACATGTTCTAACTCATTTTATCTTTGTTTTCTCACATGTAATGTGTCTTTTTCTCTAGGTGCTTCTAAAATATTCTCTTTATCATGGTTTCCAGCAGTCAATGGGGTTACTGCCCCTCTCCCTCCCTTCTCCCCTCGTTCTTCCTTTCTTATATCTGTTTGAGTTTGCTGAATTTCTGAATCTGCTAATTTATAGCTTTCATCTAATTTGCATAATTATCCATCATTATTTATTCAAATGATTTTTCTTCTGCCCCTATCCTTCCTTCTGGGACTCCAATTGCATCCATGTTAGATAGCTTTAGACGGTCCCACAGGTCACTGAGACTGTTTCTTTTTTCCAACCATATTTTCTCCCTGTGCTTCAGTTTAGATAATTAATGCTGTTAAGTGCATCCAGTGAAGTTTTCATTTCAGACATTGTATTTTTTTTTTTCCAGCTCCAAAAGCCACATTTGATTCTTTTTTGCTTTTTCTAATCTTCTATTTCCCTTCTCATTATTTTCATATTTTCATTTAAATTCTTGCACATATTTATATTAGCTTCTTGAAACTCCCTTTCTGCCATTTCCATCATCTTTGTCATTTTGGGTTCTACTTCTGTGGATTTTTCTTTCCTGCTAGATCTTACTGACATTTTCCTGCTTCTTAACATGTTTGATAATTATTTCATTTATTACTTGACATTGAAAATGTTATTTTGTTGAATGTCCAGATTTTGTTGCCTTCCTTTAAAGAGTGTTGAAATTTGTTTTGGCAGGCAGCTATTTGTATTCAGCATGCGCCTTTCGAGGGAGATTTTTAAAGTTTGTTAATGCATTTAGAGGAACTTTGTCTCTCAAACAAATTTAGCCCTATTCCTATGCTGTGTCCCTGTGGTTTCTCTAACGAATTCCCTGTGTTTTCCACTATGTATCTCAGCTCTAGGTTAGAACTTGAACATCTCCCGGCCTTACGATACTTCCATGAATTGTTCAACTTTAAAGCCCTCTGATAATTATTCTTTGGTTAGCTTTACGAGATTTCATCCTATGCATGTGCACAATGTTTGGCCAAAGACTCAAGGGGACCCCATACAGATTTCTGGTAGTTTTTTTTTCTCTGCATAGTTCTGTAATCCGTGTTTTTCAAGGAAAAATAAAAAATGTCAAGTACTTTGACATAAATATTTGTTCTTAATATCCCCTTATTATTTTTACTATCTGTAGGATGTTTCCGTTTTCATTCCTAATATTTGTACTCTGAGTTTTCTCTTTTTTCTTGGTCAGTCTGTCTAAGGGCTTATCAATTTTATTAATCTTTTCAACGAACCAGTTTTGGCCTCATTGCTTTCTTCCAGTTGCACATTTGTTTTCAGCTTCATTGATTTCTGCTCTTATGTTCATTTGTCCCTTTTCTTCTATAGATGTTTGAGGATCTCCCAATAAAAAATCTGACCCTATTATATAGCTGTTTGCTTGGCAATCCTTGTTGAGACACACTGAACTTTTTACCACCATTTTAATGCTCATTCTCCAGTATGAACAGAAATCCAAGGATTACTAGATATTTAAGGAATAACTATAAAATTTTTAAAAAGATAACCAAAAAAAAGAAATCCAAATAACCGAAAATAAGATTCGAGAGGATTCAGACAATATGGGGAACAGAAGGAAACTTTTAAAATGTCTTTAAGATTCTTAGAGAGATATAAGATAACGCATCCCTGAAACCAAAACAGCATATCATAAGGTAATAGAGAATTTAAAAAGTAAAGTACAAATATAATGGTATGAATTAAATATTCAACAACAAGTTTGTAGGGGGAAAAACTGCTGAAGAAATCTTCTGGAAACTAGAAGAAAAATGTCAAAATACAAAAAGATGAGAGGAAAAAAGGTAAGAATTTAGAGGATTATTCCAAGAAAACGACTTTCAGCCTAGAAATTTAAATATAGACAAACCATTAAGTGTGTGACATTTTTCAGATCAGCAAGGTAGCAAAAAATTAACCATTTCTCTTTGCATTATCCCCTACGTATTAGTTTCACATTGCTTCTATAACAAATTATCACAAACTTAGTTGCTTAAAACAACACAACTTTACTATCTCACAGATCTGGAGGTCAAAAGTCTGAAATGGGTCTGGAGGGCGATGGTCCTTCTGGAGACTCTAGAAGAAAATCTGTTTCCTTGCCTTTCCCAGCTTCTAGGAGTCACCTACATGCCTTTACTCCTTAGCTCCTTCCTCCAACCCCAAAGGTAGCAGCGTAGCATCTTCCCTCTCTGACCTTGTCTCCCTCTTACAAAGACACTTGTGATTATGTGAGCCCACCCAGATAATCCAGGGTAATCTCCCCATCTCAAGGTCCTTAACTTAATCACATACGCAGGTTCCTTTTGCCACATAAGAAACAAATTCATAGGATCTGGAGATTAGGATATAGACATCTTTGGGGGGGAGGGGGTCAGTATGCTATCTCCCACACTCCCATTTACCTTTTCTCAGGAAGGTTCTAGAAGATATGTTTCATAAAAACAAAGGATTAAACAAAGAAAAAGGAAACAAGGGATCCAACACAGGAGAGCAGTGTTGGATTGATAAAAGCAACCAACACTGAGTGAACTAGAGGTTGTAACACTCTAGAAGGAATATCTGGAAGGAAAAAAAATAATCTGCTAGATTAATTGATGTATATGATTGTGATGCTTTATCACTTTGGCAGAGTGTTTGGGGACAGATTACTAATAAGTACACAAAAATATGGCAATTATTAAGACAAAGCAAAGTAAGGTTGTATTAAAAGTTAACATGATCATATATGGCTCAAATTGAATGATATTTTAAAATGGTGATTTAAACAAAAACTATGATATTACTCCATTGAGAGATGAGAGGATAAGAAAAGTGTGTGGGGGTAGGGAGAGAAGGAATGTTCACACACTTGGAGGTGATGTTATAAATGAGCTTTATCATTGACTTCCACAGCGGAAAGTCAATGGATAATCTCTGGAATTGAAAAATCAAGAAATTGCAGTACAACTATTTTGACATATGGAGTAAACAACAGAAGAAATATTGAAAAGACCTGAATTCTCCTTTTGAGAGAAGAATTGAGAACACAGTGGGGGGTTTGGGGACCACAGGACTTTGGTTAAAAACCTGTTCACCAATATATGCATGTTTCTCTACATTTCCCAGGCTCCCTTGCAGTTAAAGTGGGGGCCTTGGGACTAAATTCTGGCCAGTGGAATGTGGGTACAGTGATATATGCCATATTTAGGGCTAACCTCTAAAACTTTTTGTGTGATTCACTATGCTTTCTTTCCTGTCAGAGAAGCTGTGGATCCCAAGTCCCAGGAGACAGCAGAACCAGTAAAAATAAAAAGAAATCCACATTCTTGAGTCTAACATTTCATCTGACTAGTAATATCCACAATGGATTTTTTTGTGAGAAACAAAAATTTCTTGTACTAAACCACTGAAATTTTGGGGTTGTCTGTGACAGCCGTTAAATTCACTGTGTTGGTTTTTTTTTTTATATGGCCACAAATTCTTTGACAATCTTTTGAGAAGTGGCATCCATGTCCCGTATCCTAAAATCTGAACAGGACTTGTGACTCACTTATAACCCAAAGAACGAGAGAGAAGTGACACTGTGTTACTTTTTGAGGCTGGGTCAGACAGGACATGTAGTTTCTGCCTTGTTCAATGCAACACTTGACTTTGGGGTACTGGGCCTAAACTAAGGAGTCTGATCACCCTGCCACCATAGTGTGAGGAAGCCCAGGCCACATGGAGGGGTCACAAATAGGAACTCTGCTAGCATTCACAATCTTCCCCGCTGAGTTATCAGAGAAAAGCTGTCTCTCTGTGCCCTATGGAACACAATTCATGAATATAATAAAACAGTCGTTTTAAGCCACTATATTTGGAGTAATTTATTACATAGCAATAGTAACCCAATACTCCCTCCAATTAATAAATAGTATCATTTGTGTAGTTAAGAAAAAGGTATGAATTATTCTTGTCTTGGACACTTATTGCCACCTCTCCTACCCAGAAAGTTGACCTTTCCCCCTAACGCAGTGGCTTTCAAACGTTTTAGAGAAACACACAATAAGAAGCACATTTTGTAAACATGACCTACTGCACACACACATGCATATATATAATTTAAAACTCTATAAAGCAATAAAGTTTATCAAGTGCCATGCACTGATATTTCCACACTATCCTTTTTTTTTTTTAAGTGTAGTTTTGACTAAATAGATTTCCTTGCTTACAAGTGAGGCCTCCACCAATGAGTCCCACACAATGCTCTTGAAAAACACTGCTCTAAACCATAGTCATTCCGCAAGGCCTTTACGCAAGTCCAACCAATAAACCTTCACTGACCATTCTGAGCGCTTTTGAAATTCCTACACTTTATTAGTTGTATTTTCTGTACCGCCTATGCTTAACTTGATATCACATGCTCCTTCAGGGCAAGGTTCTGTCCTTCATCTTTCACTTGCTAAATTCATAGTATTCAGTAAATACATTGCTCAATATCTGGTCATCGTGTTTCTAAATCTCGCAATTGTTAACATCCACTCCTTAAGTTTGGGTTTTCTTTGGGGTGGGGAAAGAAAAATGATTCAACAACCTATCCACGTATTGTGCTTAACTTCAAACTGGAAAAGAGCACAAAGTAGTCCCAACTCTTCGTGCGTGTGTAGTTCTTAAGCAAATCAAATCATCAAGACACACTTTTTCTACACGCTTATTACCAGGCAGCGCACGAAATACCAATCTCGACATAGCCATAAAAAAGTAACAGAACCAAGTTCTCACGACTACCCCACTTTAGGAATTGGTAAAATGGGAAAGTGTTCTGTCGGATCCGCATTTTTCAAAACTCACTGCAACTACACCTGGGGAGTATAGCTCTAGAAACTTGTTCCACGGCTGCGGGCCGGGCCAGGCGCAGGAGGCAGCTCAGCGTAGGGCTGGCGGGCTGCGAGGCCCGGGCCCGCGACGCCCGCCCCGCTCCGGGACCGCCTCACACAGGAGAAGGGTGACTGCGCAGGAGGCGAGAGAGGCTGGGGCGGGACTTCCCGTCGGACCCTCCCCTGCCGTCCTCCCAGCCGTTACCTTTGCCGCGAGGCCTGCGCAGCGCCCGGCCCTAGCAACGGCCCTAGCAACGGCCGGGCTCCGCCCTCCGGTGTCTTCCGGAAAGCTCTCCGCCGCGTCCGTGCGCGTCCACGGCCGGGCGCGCGCCTCGGGCTCGGGCTCGGGCGGAGCGGCGGACGCGTGGAGCTGTGCGAGGACCCGCGGGCGGTGCAGGTCTGAGTCCCACTCCGATCCCCCAGGCCTGTCCCCGCGCCTGTGCGGGGACCCGGGGCCCGGCCCGAGCGGTGCGGCTGCGCGCAGTGACGCTCCTCGGCCGGGCCCCAGCGGAGGTCGCGTGTGAGCCTGTGTCGCCTGTGAGCGGGACGCTGGTCCCTGCGCGGGCGCTCGCATTCTTAGGATCTTGTGGGCCCTTGGGGAAAAGGCTTTCAAATTTTTCTTCAAAAATATTTTTTTTTCCCTAACAATTATTTTCGGTGCGTTCCGCCCCAAGGAAAGGTTGTCCTGGGCAAAGTTAGTCCCCTTGGAACCCTAATCTTTATTTTTTAGCGTTTGGAGTGGTTTTTGGGCGGGACTGGTTATCACAGAAGGAGCAGCTCAGTACAGACATAGTATGCCAAGCAGGGTATCTAAAATACTAAGATTATGGTTACATAATAAGCAAAGGAGTCTGTTCCTTCTGTCTGAATTATTTCTTGGGAGTGTAAGAGAGTCAGGAAGTATGTTAACACTTTAAGGTGCCAGTTCTGAGGAGTTGGCTGATAAAGTCGCTGCTTGACTTAGAACCACAACATTTAAGGATTACTTCTGTCTGAACCCCAGTGCAGCATGAAAAACTAAGGCCAGACAGTCTGCCTGCCACATGGCGGGTGGTGTGGCAGGGGCCCTCAGTCCTGTAGGAAAAAGGTGGTACCACGGATTTAAAAATAAAAGGATGTTGGACCTGTACCCATTATGTGACCAGGTTCTTAAAAATACTCTAAGAATAAAAAAAATTGAAGTGGATTTCATCCAGAACTGAACTGGCCCACAGTACAGCATAGGGGAGTTTTATATCGTGTTCCATTGGGAGGTGAGTCAACTTGTAGCTAGGAACCTTTTCCATTATTTTGCAAAAAAAAAAAAAAAAATCTGCCAGGCTGCCCCTTGTGCCAGGCTGCAGAAGGCCCATAAAGGTAGTTTGTTGGGTGCTGCAGTAGCGAGATGCACACTGGATACTGTTTTTTCCAGAATGGTTTTGATTTAGTTAAGTGTTTGTTGAATTCCTCCTGCTGCTTAACACATGGAGATAGGTGAAATCAATAAAGATTTCTGCCCTTGCAGAGTTGACTGTCTGCTCGGAGCATTCCCTTCACTAAAAGTTAACTCTGAGTTAAAGTATATTTTTCCGTGTTAAACAAGTGGAAGCAATAAGTGCACGGAGGTAAAGAGGTGTGAGAGATTGCCGTAGACCATCTAGAGAGCTGACTTTGAGACTAAAATTAGAGGATTATGTGCAAGGTAGAACTGATACATCTTGGTGAGTTATTAGTTTTAGGGTAAAAGAGGGTAGAAAATTAATTTGTTTTCAACCTAAGTTGCAGAATGATGGGTGTACGGTCAAGGTAACAATATTTATTAGTTCCTTAGGAATAAAGTCTCTTTATGTTTTCTGAGTCATCCCCACAAACTCCACTTGTATTTCCTTGCGCATGTTTGATGATAACGAGTATGTTTTGAAGGTTTGAATCATCACGTTTGCAGCAAATGATTTGTACACCTTTGAGGCCGGCTGTTGGGTAGGTCAGGAGAGAGGCCCTGCTCCTATGGTTTCAGAGGTTTTTGAAGAGAGCCTCGTAGGACTACAACTGCAGGCCCTAGAAAGACTCACAAGTAGTTTTCCATTGAGTGTCTGGCCACCCTGTTGACTTTCATGACATCCGCAGCAACTGCATGCTTCCCCACTATGCCTGGGCCCTTTGGTGGTACATGCAAACCCATAAATGGCTACTGGAATACCCAGGCAAATGGAATCAGGTTCAATTAGTCCAGTCCAGTTTCTTTTTTAGGATGACCCTCATGATCTGGATACCTCAAGACTGTTACAGCCTGAAAATGTTTTTCTGTAAGAACCCCGGATGACACCAGAACAAACCCAAACCGAGAGGATTTAGGTGACACTTAATTAGCTTCCAAGTGCAGGAGAGACCTTTATTCGCTTGTGACAGTTGACCTGTTGTAGAAGATTTAACTCTCATTTCTGGAGACTCGTAGGAGCTCTTCTCAGAATTTTAAGGTTGCTTCTGTCTTTAGAATAAATTCGTGTACAAAATATTGTGTCTGTATATGCATTTTCTAGAGAGAAGGTCCAGCACTCTCTTGCGATCTTAAAAGGATCTGAGACTCAAGAAAAAGTGGTAGCTTAATATCCTTCACTCCTAGTCATTGAGAACATGTTCACAAAGATAGAAGCCATTTTTAGGGAGGTGATTTGGAATGAAGGTCAGAAGTAGATGTTTTCCATTTGTGAGCCAGGAAGAAGGGATGGGACCATCATTCTCCAATATCACTTTTCTCTGAGCAACCCAAGATTTAAACCTGTGCCTAATCAGTACACATCAAAAATATTTATTTGATTTTGGTTTCCCCCTTGGGTAAATGTGGCAAGTATATTTTACTTTTGCTTCCATGACCAGCATCTTTTTTCTTTGCATCTCTTTATTTGGGCCTCAAGCTCCTTGGGATTTGTAGTCTGTAAAAAGCTCCTGATGAGTAATCAAATTAGTGCCACTAGCTTCTTGTTAGTAAATCATGTCGTATTTTATGTTCCACTGGACTTTTTCTTCACTTTCTATCTGGGAGACCACAGAAAGTTTCCTGTTGGGCTCACAGCGTTTCTCCTGTCGGTGTTTGTACTCAGAGTGTCTGGAGGCTCATGGTTACAAACCATGATGCCATAAGGCTTTATAATGAGAGAATCATTTTATGGCTTTGGAATGCATATCAAGTCAAAAGGGCCCCTGTTTCTTTTCTCCCTTAAAAGATATTGTGCTTACAGAGTAGTTGAATAGCAATTTTGGCAGCCATTGTCCTTCTCTGAAGAAAATATTTAAGTAGGAATGTTATTTTACTTTTTTACCTCTAGTACTAAAGAACTTGCATGGTGTATATTTTCAAAAACCAGTATGACTTCTTAAAGTGAGTGGATATTAATGTTACTTTGTAAAGTTTTTAAATGTATAAGATCAGGATTTAATTTTTCTGGGCATATATTTCACTTTTTGGGATATTTTACAAGTTATGATTGGTAGTAGATGCCTCTTATTTTAATGGCTATGAGTTATATATCTTGTGTGTGTTTTAATTTAAGTTGGAGAGAAATATATCTTTTAGAACATATCCAACTAAATTATACTAATTTCACTGGAACCTGGTATTTTTACTAGAGTTAAGGTTGAGATTTGATGTCATGTATCAGTAATTCAAAATCGGAACCTACAAGGTCGAATACATTCCTGTCTGATACTAACATTAAACCATTACATTCCTAATATAAAATAAAATTGCTATCCATAGAATGAAAGAGTTACTGAAAAATGGATTGTTGGTACCTAAACTTTATATTTGAAATAATTTTTCTAAGAGAGCACCTTTCTATTTTTATGCAGGGAATGGTCCAAAAGGGTAACTTATTGTTTTGAGTCTATTGCTTTTTAATTTTATATTTTAAGGCATGCTAATTTATTGGTTTTAAAAACTTAACATTTGTTAATAAATACTAAAATCAGCACATAGCTGTGAAATAAATTGAGTGATTTTCTTGGTTGAGAGAGTAAAATATCTTCTGTTTTTATTTTGTCCTCCCGCTTTTCTTTTTTCCAGTGCACCTATGATATGTGTTTTAGAAATAGATGTTAAATTTTGGTTTGAATGAAAAAATGTCTCTCAATCCACCTATATTTCTCAAAGAAAGGGAAGAAAATAGTTCAAAATTTGTGGAAATACAGCAGCCACAAACTGCTTCCAGATCTTCAGAAGATCCTCTGCAGAACTTATGCTTAGCTTCTCAAGAAGTTCTTCAAAAAGCTCAACGAAGTGGGAGATCCAAATGTCTCAAATGTGGTGGTTCCAGAATGTTCTACTGTTATACATGTTATGTCCCGGTTGAAAACGTGCCTCTTGAACAGATGCCACTTGTGAAGGTTGGTAAGAGATTTAATTATTTGAAAGAAGAAAAACAGATTTGAAAAAGACGTCTTATATAGGCCTGCTCTAATATAATTGATAAGCTTGATAAATACCATCGTTAGGAAAATGAATTATATCAATAGAGAATTTAATCCTACAGACTGCTAAACCTATTTGTTTTTCTTGTCTCTGGAAAAAGAGACACAAAAAATGTGGCATTAACGCAAATACTACAAGAAACAAGTTTATAGACTACCTGAGGGAGCGTTGAAGACTACCTCGGGTCCTCAGACTGTCCTTTGAGGAAACATCCCAACGGAACTAGGATTGATTTTCTTTGGCTTTTGTAGAATGGGCTTTTTAGCCCCATCCTATACGTGGAGATGGAACAGATGTCACTGACTAAAACTAAACTAAACTAAAATTTAAAAGACTAAGACCTATTCATTGGGTTATGTTATAATTGTAGTGATCTTAAATATTAATTTGAAATGATTGCTTACCTTTTACTTTTTATTGCTTACCAGTACTATTCTTGTGTAGTAAAAGGTCCATAGACCAACATTTCTGCATAATCAAAGAAGAATTTATTATATATTTGTTAACTTATATGTCTGGCACTGACGTGAACTTTAGGAGTAAATCGAATAATGTATAAAATCCAACTGCTGCCTATTAGTACTTGAGAGAGACTAAACGCTACACATGGACTCAGAACTTGCCAGGAAGAAAATAAATTGTAACTATATTTGAAATATTTAATGTGGTGATTTTAAGGTTCCTTTTAATTTTAAGTAAGAAAAATACTTTAACACTCATATTTTGTTACTTGAATGTTACTTTAGCCTATTTGTCGTCTTGGCAAGTCTCTTCGTGGGTCTAAAATCACACTTAACAGGCTACTGGAAAGTTTACTAGCAAGAATAAGGGAGCGTGGAATCTAATATAAGCTTCATAGTTACCTCAGAAAAACCTAGAGCTTGGGGATAATAATTCTTTTTAAGTTTCCCATTATCTTATAAGAGTGTTACATTTCAAAGTATAGTTTTTGAAGAATATGCAGAATTATTCTATCTTCTATTTATATCAAAGCCACATAAAGTATCCCATTAAAAGTTTTATTTTAAAATGTGTTCAAAAAGGATTGTAGATCAGAATAATAAAAGTCAAAAATATATGGACAGGGCTAATATTTTCATAAAAATTTAGTAATAGAGGATTATTTTCCAAATCAGTGGTCTAATCTCCCCTATTTAATAGAATTGACTCAAAACACTATGCCAAATGTTTGGTCAACTCTACATGGCCTACTGGACTGTGCGGAGTTTTCTGAAGTGTTTGTATTTTAATGGCTATATATAAAATTTTATATGCCAATATATTTTAGTAGTAAAAAACTCTACAAAGTTTCTAATTTCTACTTTATTTTTACTTTAACAAATCATTCAGCATAGATAGCTTGCTTGGGAAGGGAAGATGACTGCATAATGAGTAAGTACCTCCCAAGCTTTAAATTTTAGTCTAGAGAATAAATTCATAAATATCTATCTTTTCATACAGAATATGATTTTTTTTAATACCATGAAAAATGCATAAGCAAAGGTAAAAGGTGCTCTTGGGTTTTTTCTAAAAGGGGAGAAAGAAACTGTAAGGTAGGCGCTGGCCTAGTGGCACAGCAGCTAAGTTCGCACGTTCTGCTTCAGTGACCTGGGGTTTGCCAGTTCAGATCCCGGGTGTGGACATGGCACCGCTTGGCAAGCCATGCTGTGGCAGGCGTCCCACATATAAAATAGAGGAAGATGGGCATGGATGTTAGCTCAGGGCCAGTCTTCCTCAGCAAAAAGAGGAGGATGGGCAGCAGTTAGCTCAGGGCTAATCTTCCTCAAAAAAAAAAAAAAGAGAAAAAAATGAGGAAAAAAAGAAACCATAAGGTAGAAGAAAGCGTCATCTTTATTAGAGTTCTCGAATTTACAAGGCTCCCTTTGGAAAGTTGAGAATCATACGGGGAAAAATTTAGGGCTCCTTGTTAATGGTGTTTTGTCACATTTGGGCAGACAGTTTTGTGGTAAATCTCTTATAGGAAACATAGGTGTTAGAGAACAGATTGATGTTCTTTATGTGTGTGAAAACAAATCGCCTCAACTTGAACTGCGGCTGGTCAACACTGCTGGTGTTAACTCTGTACCCTGTCGTTATTTAAGAAGAATCTTTCTTCAAAATGTGTGAACTAGAACACAAACATATATTTCCATGATTTTATCTGTGTCTGTGCTTTTGTTTCATAGTATTGGAAATTTTAGGCTTACCCAAGGAGAGCTAAAGATACCTGGACTGGGACCCAGGAAAACCTCTTCAACACAAATTTTTCATAATTGTCTTATACTTGTAGATTTTACTCCATAAAACTTTCTCTTTTTATTGTGTTATGTTAAAAATAGGCTAAGTACATGATTTGTAAAATACATTAATAACACTCAGTCCTGTGTCCTTGATGTAAAGGGTATCCTTCAACATAACCACCTGATCAGAAATGTTGGTGATCACCTTTGAAATTTTCAGCTCTATTCATCAGCCATATAAGAGAGCATTTTTATTAGTAATAGAATACTTTATCATGATCTGCTTTCTTTGTCTTCTTTCCTCTCTCCTACCTTCCCTGGGCTGAGATAATGCTGACGTGGTACTGAGAGAGCCTGGGGAATGTAGTGTCAACAGACTGGGCAGCATGAGGAAAGTCTGATGTAGAGTTCAGCCAGAAGTAGACTGATGTAAAATCATTTGTGAACTGCCTACTTAAATGGTAAATTTTCTGTAACTAGAAATTTGATGATTTGAAACAATTGGCCCTAACTTATAAATGATCACTAGGCCTAAGTGGGGAGGGTAGGAGACATGGGGTTTGGAACGCTAAATTGAAAACTATTTGGGCTGCATATTTATGGGCCTTCTTGGGTATATACCATCCTTTCTCCATATAATTGTCCAGAAAGATAAAGTATATGCAATTGGGATCATTTAGTAGCATGCAGCAACTGCTTCTTTAAAACATAGTTCTGGAATTAGTGATGCATACAACAATATGGACGAATTTCAAAATAATATTTTGAGTGAAAAAAGATGAAAAGAGTACGTTCTATATGATTTCATTTACATAAAATTCTAGAAAATGTAAACTGATCTATAGTGATAGCAGATCAATAGTTGCGTAAGGACTGTGGGTGGTAGGTGGTGGGGAAAAGGGAAGGAGGTGGGCTCAAGAAGTCTTTTGGGGGTGATGGATATGTTCATTGTCTTGATTGTGCTAGTGAGTTCAAGGGTGTAACATATGTTAAAACTCATTGAATTGTACACTTGAAATGTGTGCAGTTTATTATATTGATTTTACCTCTTTAAAAAATAAGAAAAATAGTTCTGTACTCCAGGATAAAATAGTTGAGTGCCCCAGAGTAAATCCCTAGAATCCTGCCTGTTTAGTGTGGGATGGAGGCTGGAAGAGTGCTTGTCATGACCAGTAAGTCGTTTGAAATCTGCAGTAAAGAATCCATCTCAGAGACTTTCTCATATATATGACTCGGCTTTCATTTTCATAATCATAGCTGAATGCAGGACCTGACCAGGCATTATACAGTAAACTGAACCAAACCAATCAGTAAAATAATAGAAAAATCGAACTCAAGAAATGCAAGAGAACGTTAGTTTTGCATAGAGGCAGGACATAATCTATAACAATTAAATAATGAAATTTTAAGGGAAATAGGCAAAATCATTTTGAAGAGAGGTATTTTTTATATAAAGAATGCATCTCAGTGACCTATTCTGTTACAGCTTTGCCAATTGATAATTATTTCATTTGTGCTGCTAAAGGCCACTGCTGAGGATCATGATGTTCACAACAAAGGATAATACCTTTGATCTTTTTTTTTTTTTAAACTTAAGGGTTTTTTTTTAAGATTTTTTTTTTTTTTCCCTCAAAGCCCCCCGGTACATAGTTGTATATTCTTCGTTGTGGGTCCTTCTAGTTGTGGCATATGGGACACTGCCTCAGCATGGTTTGATGAGCAGTGCCATGTCCGCGCCCAGGTTTCGAACCAACGAAACACTGGGCCGCCTGCAGCGGAGCACGCGAACTTAACCACTTGGCCACGGGGCCAGCCCCTAATACCTTTGATCTTAAAGGATGTATAAGGAACAAAATTTTAACTTGAATTTTAGATCTGATGCTTTTGCCCAAACTTATGTTTCCTTTTAATATATCATAAAATTAACAAGTCTAAAATTTAGAAGAATTATAAAAAATGTCTTAGTGCTGGCCTGGTGGCGTAGTGGTTAAGTTCAACACACTCTTCTTCAGTGGCCTGGGGTTTGGATCCCAGGCTTAGCCCTACACCACTCCTCAAAGCCATGCTGTGGCAGAGATGCACATATAAAAAATAGATGAAGATTGGCACAGATGTTAGCTCAGAGCCAATCTTCCTCAAAGCAAAAAGAGGAGGATTGGCAACAGGTGTTAACTCAGGGCCAGTCTTCCTCACCAAAAAAAAAAAAAATAGTTCTTGACACAAATCCTGAAATGCAAGGAATTAGCTTAATGCCTATGTAACTTAAATGAAAATGACATTGGAGCTTTGCTTTAGAGCAAATTCTATGTTAGATGAGTTGAAGATAGTTCTGTTACGTGATTAACAATATCAAGGAAGAAATTTGGTTTGCTTTATGACTCTGACTATTCTTAATCTGGTCTAGAAAAGTATGACTTTCAAACCATAAGAATATTTATAGTAACTTCTTGTAAACTTGCTATTTAAGCTTTAAAGACCATTTTTATTAACATAAAAATTAGAATTTTTATATTTGTTTTAATTGTCTTTTTTTTTTAATTTTAGCTTCCACTGAAGATTGACATCATTAAACATCCAAATGAAACAGATGGCAAAAGTACTGCTATACATGCAAAACTCTTAGCACCTGACTTTGTAAATATTTACACGTACCCTTGTATTCCAGAATATGAAGAAAAGGACCATGAAGTAGGCAGCTTGTTTTTTACAACTCTTCACATCAAATCTAAAAATGACTTTTACATTCTATTGCCTTTCTGAACTTACTTAACAAAATTTAATATTTTTCTTAATGACCTAGGGTTATTCTCATGTGGCACTAAGCAACATATAATTTACTTCATTGGTATCTTCAAAGATCAAATGATCCTAGATTGTTAGGCTTTTTTTAGTCTCTCTTTCCACTTTTTATAGTTTTTCTGCATTATTTCTTCAGGTTTTTACTCTATGCCAGTATTATTGTACCCACTTTTACTTTCTGTCCTCTCCATCTCCCTGCATGTACTACACATAGACAGTCTAATTTGATGCGAGCTGAGAAACCAGATTACAAATGATGTTGGAGTTTTTCCAGAAGAAGAAAAGAAAGACTGAGTTAGAAAGCTTTTCAGGAATTCTCCCTAAGTTAAGAGTCTTAGTATATGGCGTTTGTAACATTTCTTTTGGCTGTTCAGAGGCCTTCCTTGCTCTTCTCTAGATTCTTAACTGGTTTTCACATAGTTGAAATTGTTGCATTCGTGAGATATTACTGGTCTTGTTGAAAAGTAACGTTGCAATAGATCTCAAAAAACTAGGCCTTGACTGCTTCTGGAAGAAGACCCCCCTTTTTAGGTCTCTTGGAGACCATTTGTTGGTGTGGTTAATCTAGAAACAAAAATACATTCATTTGTTCTAGAAAGAACTTGGTAAGTTTTTCCTTTCCTATCAATATATATATATTTTTTTTTGGTTGAGTTTATATAGAAAGTTGTATTTGTAAATAATATCTGAGTTTTGGATTTAGGAATATATTTGTGTTTCCTTCTCTGCTCAGCTGGGTATTATTTATGTCTGTTAAATAGAACATGGTGCAAGGTTCTGTAAAGAGACATGATATGCTTAAATGCAAGAATATTAGGAATCCCTGGAGTTTGCTGCTTGGGTCTGTGGGAAATATAGGCATGCATTGAGAAGGTTTGAAAAACTTTTATAACTTTGAAGTTTATAAATTCAAGATTTTTTGTTTCTTCAGTTTTATTTTTATAATGCTTATTTTTTCATATTAAAAATGATACATGCTCATTGAAGAAAATTTGGGAAAAAGAGAAAAGTATGGGAGATAAAATGCTCATGATTTTACGAACATTTGATTATTTAACAAGTACTTACAGGGTGTCTGCTTTGTGGCAGGAGCCTTTTGGACGTGGGAGGAGCTGATAGTATATAAGGTCTTGGTAAAAACATGCTGAAAGAGAGGAGGTACCATAATTTACAGAATTATTCCTTGAAAGTTAGGTTTTTCAGTTTTAACTTTTCACTCTAATAAATATGCTTTAACACGTATTCTGGGAATTGTGAGTGTATTTATATTTAGGATATTTTATTAAGATAAATTCCCATGAGTGAAATTATTTGACCAAAGGGTATGAACATTTCAAGTCTCTTGGTTTAAATTGCCAAATTGCTTTCATGAAGAGTTGTACTATTTACTCCTGCCATCAGTAATGGCCATAAAAGCCCATTACATCATTTCCTCACCAGCATTCACTGTATCATTTGTTTTATCTTTGTATATTGTATAGGTGAAAGTGATATTTCATTACTAAGAGCTTTTCAATGGTTCTTTTACAAAGAACACATACTTTGCCTTTTATTTTGTGAAATAGTATAGAGTTTCGTTTTTGATTCAAGGTACAATTAACTTGGCCTCTATCAATAGGTGAATAACTTATTTTGAAGTAATACTTTTAGGTAGTATATCATGATTATGAATTACTAGGGAAGAGCCAAACACTTTACATATTAAAGAAGCGTGTATAGTAGAACCTGATGCTTGTTTCTCAGCTATACACCATATTTTTTCTCTTAAAGTTTAAGTCAGAATTTATTCATTTTGAAAGTCATAAGAGCACACTCTAATTTGAGTTTCTTTGCTTCAGGTTGCACTTGTTTTTCCTGGACCTAAGTCTGTCTCAGTAAAAGATATTTCTTTTCATCTGCAAAAGAGGATTCAAAATAATGTTAGAGGCAAAAATGATGACCCTGACAAGCCATCCACTAAACGCAAGAAAACTGAGGAAGAGGATTTGAATGACAGCAAGTGCAAAGACACAACATTGAAAAAAATTATATTTATAGATAGTACCTGGAACCAAACAAACAAAATATTCACTGATGAGAGACTTCAAGGTAAGAAAATAAATGTTGTTTTTTTTGGATTGTACCTTCCCCTAACTTTCATTTCAAAAAACTTCAAACCTATGGATATATTAGAAGAAGAGTTGCATTGACTACTCCTACATTTTGCCACATATGCTTTATTTCTCTTTTTCTATTATACGTGTCTGTATACTTAGATATTATGTATATTTTTGGTTGAACCTTTTGAAAGTAAGTTGCAAGCTTTACAACATTTCACCCTTAAATACTTAAGTGTACATATTTTAAGAATAATTGCAATATTCACTCTAAGAAAATTTATAAAAGTTCTATAATACCTAATATACAGTCTATATTCAATTTCCCTGATTGACCCAAAAATATGTTTTGTAGCTTTTTTCCCTCTGATAACAGCATGTAAACTCCCATTGCACTTGGTTAATATGTCTCTTTAGTCTCTGTTAATCTACAACAGTCCCCTGTTTTTGTTTTTTGAGAGTTAGACCATTAAGAGGACAGGTCAATTGTCTGAATATTTCATCATGATTAGATCATTTTAAATATTTTTTCAAGTATACTTACCAATAAGGATAAATCCAGTATGGTCTGTGACGATCCCAGTTTGTACCTGTTGTCTTGGTGTAATTGTTAATAGCATTCCCTTTCACTCTCAGAAATTAACCTGTTTATCTGATAAATTCTGTGATTACCCTATTCATAGGTGAAATTGTATACTTATTATTCTGTCAAGTCCTGAGGCATATGATGTAAGTTGTTCCATTATTGGTGATAACTTTAATCACTTGATTAAAGTGGTGATTGCCAGATCTTTCCATTTTAAAGGTTTATTTTCTTCTTTGAAGTTAGTAGTAATCTATGGGTGATGCTTTGGGACTGTATGCTGTCTGTTTCCTAACTGCTTTTCTCTAAGTCGTTTTAGTATCATTGATGACTCTTGCCTAAACCAGTAATTAAATTGAGGATTGCAAAATGATGAAATTTTAATTTTAGTATTATTATTTCTTTGACATTTGTTAGCTGGCATTCTTATGTAAAGAAGAGCTTTTACTTTCCCCCTCTTTTTTCCTCTCTCTCCCCTTGCCCTTTTTTTAGATCACTGTAGTCTTAAGGATGTCTTTTTAATTCAGTATATTATAATCTATCATGATCGATCGTACTTTAGATGCCCAGATTACCTCAGGTTTTGCTGGTAGGAGCCCTTCAAGTCCTTTGTGACACGGCCTCATTAGTCTTTCTGCTTCAACAGGATGTCTCAAGTTCACTTGTACTTTTTTCCTGCCCCAGACCTAGAATTAATCATTATTCAAAGGAGCTCTGGTTCTTTTTGGTGGGGAATGATATTAGAAACCAAGATCTGGTAAATTTATTACTACTTGGATGTCATTGCTTCAGTGGTTAGAGCCAAGAAAAATAAACATATATCATGAGTTCACATGGATAGTTCCAATTCAGATGTAAAATTACAGGCATTTTCTTTCCTTTGTTGTATGTTTGTATCCATTTTTCTCTTAGAATGAAAAGCTCAGTTGCTAATAATAATGGTTTAAAGAGTTGCTTTATTTGTCCAAGTAACACCGCTAGTAATATGAAGAACAGGAGGTCATATTACCTCTCTTGTTTCCTGAACCTTACTCAGTTCTTCATGCTTTCTTAGTAGTTTCTCTAAAAGCGTTGGGTTTATTTTCAGCTCTTACATGGCTTTGTTTGTGTACCATGTATGATTAGAAGGCGAGAGCACTGCACAGTTTGTGTTAGGCAGTTGCTGAAACAATTTCAACCTGGGAGAGCTTCTCCAGGCTATTGTTAAAAATATACATCATCTGGAAAAGAAAATTTATGACATTTTTTTGAGTCTGAATTGTGTAATTAGTCCCAAGCTAAAATGAGTGACAGTACTAGATTTAATTAGCTTAATTTATATAGTTTGTACCTCTGAGGTAACATACACGTTAGTAAGATTGCGTTGTCATTCTAATTGTGCATGTGCATGTGTGTATGTGTACGAGAAAAATAGGCAAAGAAATTGTGTGTGTGTGTGTGTGTGTGTGTGTGTGTGAGAGAGAGAGAGAGAGAGAGAGGGAGAGAGAGAGAGAGGGACTACAGAGCATAAGATCTGGAAAGACCTTGTTGCTGATGTTTAATAGAGAGAAGGAACCCTAAGGCCTGCTCTTTGGAATGCTGCCTGCCACATTACCTTGCATGGTTACAGCAGCAAGCTACTCCTCAGTTTGAAGATTTTTCTGAGTCATTTTTCTTTATAATTACCTTATATGGTAATTGAAAGGATCAAATGAAAGAACGTAAGTGAGAACACTTGAAAAAACTATAAAAGGAATTATCGAGGTACAATTCAAAATCTGTTTTCAGAGTGTCTGCATTTGTGCTTAAGGCTTCAAATTGGATTTGTACAAAAAATTTCTGTTATTCCTTCTCAGATCCCATAGAAAGTATCACATATTTTAATTCTCTGCTACATCAAAAATTTTAAAATAGATTTCTTAATTCCTTCAAAATAATGAAATAAACAGATTTCTAGAGTCAGTCGTATCTGCGTGTCCTATGTCAACCCCTGTCCCTCTGGCTCATCATTGCACCGCAGGGAATATTTGGGGCTCTGCACATATTTATAATCTCTGTATATATGAAATACCAGTTTCCAAACAAGCCAAGTTGCTTCCATGTTTGTTATAAATCATTGCCCTTAGCTTTTAAAACATTTTATCATTTGATGGGATTAAGCTTAACAAACCAACTCTAAACCTCAGTTTAAACCCTCAAATGTAGTGGATTAGAAATTATGTTTCTGTTCTCTTATTATGAATGCTGAGGTTAAGAATCCCCTTAACAATATAAAAACATACTCTTTCGCCACACTTTACAGAGAAATAGCTCTAGATGTTTTACTACTGTCAAAATAAAACATTTGAAGGTGGACTGCCTAATTTAGTCATAAAACGTAAACCTACAAAGTGAAGAGCGATGTACATTCTTGAAGATTCCCATACGAAGCCTTGGAGGGATGTGATGGGGAAGGATGGTTTCTTCTTGTTCGGGAAGGATTCCAAATTATTAAAACTGGCATTGTATAGTAATTTGTTTAAAAGATTAGCCAGCTCTGTCCCTTCATTTTGACTGTATTGATAAAATGTTTAAAGGGACAGCTTTGTTCACATTGTAAGCATTGCCTAAACTATACTCAGTCTGTCAGTGAGTGTTGTCAGATACTACCTCATTGCATCCTCACACCAGCAACATAAGCATCGCTCAAGATTGTCATTCTCATTTTTCAGTTAAAGAAATTCCAGCAATAATTTTGGAGGGAAAAGCCATTTGTAATTATCTGCTTTAAAGTTTTACTGCTAAAAAATTTTACTAATGTTATCTTAAAGCTGTTGATTGGCAGAAACAGTAGGAAGAGAATTTTTTTAATGTATATGTTGAACTTTTGAAAATAAATATTGATTTTGTATATAATCCCATGTATTTGTATATTGGTATGTTTTAAAAGATTCTATATACTTCCAAGCAAATGTGTAAAATAGGATGGATTAGTGGTGATAAACACTAAATCTTGATTTTTATATTTAACATGTTAGAACATATTAGATGTATTATAGAGACCAATACCATTTTAATAGTTACTCTTAGTTTATTTTTTTCTAAATTATATTGGTGATGTCAAAATCCTATGTTAAGATTTTAATTGTACTAACTACTTAGAACATTTTCAAATGCTGCCTTTACTTCTTGGTTATAATTAACATTAATACAAATAGTTCAAAGAGTTTGGTTTTTGTTGTTATAATTGTGTATCTTTGAATCAAAATTATTCAAATTGAAATATTTTCAAAATACTGGATAGAATACTTTAAAGGCAGAATGGCTTTGGGATTTGTCCATTCATTCAGTAATGTTTCTTGAACACCTGTTCGTGAACAGGCAGTGTCCTAGATTTGAGGGATCTGAAGGAGAATGAGGCAATGTCTCTACCATCTGATTGATCACAGTGGCTATTAATTAGGTGTGTGTTCAACCGCATGAAACAGAAACCCTCCATATCTCTTAATATCTTAATTTTTAAAATATTGTTTATTTCTTGTCATTCTCTGCTACATCTCTGAGGTAGCTTTTAGGGTAAAGTGATGTGTGACAGTAGGAAATATTGATGACTCAGAGGTCCCTAATCTGAGTCAGTGGGCCAGTTTTGATAGTGCCTTCTCCCTTCTATTTCTCATTTTAAGATAAAATGTGCTTTTAAAAAAAAGTACGTCAAAATAAATATAATGTGAGTCAGAATGCTGGCCTAAGGTGCTAAAAGCATTCTGGGTTTGTATGTTGACATCTGAGTTATAAGAAGTGAGAGTGCTTTTCTGTGATTTGATGAATCATTTCCTGTTTAATGTATAGAGCAAGGCATTCTAGCTGACTGTGTCATTGAAGCTCCATAACACAGATGAGACAGAGCTAAAGAAATGGCTCTTGGAACTCTGTTCATGAAAATGTAGCCAAAAAGTGATAACCCAGAAGTAAACAGTTTTAAGGACCATTAACCTACCTATCTCTCAGTGTTTCAGAATAATGTTTTTAGTGTCAGTTTATCAAGGAAATTAAACTCTTCTGAAAATTGGTGAATTTAGTCCTGTCATGGGTCAAAATAAAAAAAGACACTGGTAGATAGAAGATGAAGATCTTAAATGTTAACTACTTTTCACCCATTGCTACAAGGCCCAAGACTTATAGGTAACCCTCATATATGAGATTTCATTCTGTATTTTATATTGCTTCTCTCTCTATATATACCCTCATGCATTTAAGAAAATATCCTATTTGGAGTTGGGATTGAAGGAATTTATCTGCGCTCTTAACAAAAAGTCCTTAAGGTAATCAAGAGAAATCATCATTATTGTACCACACCCTGTGGTTAAGAAGAAATAGTTATACTTTTCTTATTTGTTTTTGGCAGGGTTATTACAAGTTGAGTTGAAAACAAGAAAAACTTGCTTTTGGCGCCATCAAAAAGGAAAGCCAGATACCTTCCTTTCCACAATTGAAGCTATTTACTACTTTCTGGTAGACTACCATACTGATATATTAAAGGAGAAATACAAAGGACAGTATGACAATCTTTTATTTTTCTACTCTTTTATGTACCAGTTGATAAAGAATGCCAAATGCTCTGGAGACAAGGAAACAAGAAAACTTATCCATTAGTTTTTAAGAAGCCATTTTTGTCATTTTATTTTGCTAAAATCATTAAACTTTTAATTGTGCTTTGTTTATTCTTAGGAAATACTCGTATATATTGTCTGTTAGGCCACTTGATAAAATAATATTTCATTCATTTTACCTCATGTTTTTTAAAAGGAACTTATTTCTAAGGGAATTTTCAGAGACGGTGTTAACTGAAAAACTTATTTCAGAAGTTATTTGCTCAAGTTTGGCATATCTCAATTTTATTACTGTATTTTAATATAATGTGTTATATTTATATCTATTAGATATATTAGATGTAATTAGATGTTTGTTTAAACATTCTTATCTTTCCATCTATACTCACTGCCACATTTGGAGGTCGATGGGATCAGAATCACCTTGCTGAAAATGAAGTAAGTAGTTTGCTTGAGGTTATGGCAAACATAGACCGAACTAGAATTGTAGCTCCAATCCCTAGGGCCATTTCTTTAAGTCCACACTGCCTGTGATGGACAGTTGTTGCTTTTTACATCTACTTGGCACCTTTTTTAGGGAGAAATTGCTAGCAGTCATGTGGTCCTGCCATAGGGATGAACATATGATGCAGTTTGGCAAGCAGAGTGCTCAGTGATTAATCCAGGGATGAGCATGACACAGCATCTTTTTTGGTAAGTGATATGGATGCTGTAGGAGATAGGGGTTATTTTTCAAAAAGCACTATCATGCAGTGGTTAAAAGCACAGACTCTAGAGCTAGACTACCTGAATCTAAATCTCAGCTTTTCCTTGTTCAGTTACCAGTCACACATCATTTTCTTCATCTCTAAAGAGAGGATAATATGATGGTTGCCTTACAGGATTAGTATAAGGATTAACTGAGTTAATGTATCTAAAAGGGCTTTCAACAGCAGCTGGCGTACAGTAAGTGCTCTATACGTGTTTACTCTTTTTATTTTGTTTGGAATGGTAAACTAAGAGTGATATAACCCTAGAGTTGCTGGCGGCATCTATGCTGCAGATGGCAAGAGCCTGCCTTAGAGTGAAACTAACAAAGGAAAGTAGAGTGGAGAGAGGAAAAGACTGAGTTTTGAAGACATGGTTTAATCACCTAATCTAGCTGCTTGTGAATGGAGCCCTGCTGTGCTGGATACCTTCAGTTTGCCCCTCTGGGTCCACCCTCCACTCTTTGCTATTCTGCTTTCTGCTCTGTGAGGTGGGTTCCCTTGCCCTCTGGTTTTGGTTGGGTTCACCAGATGAGAAGCATCAGCAGAGGATTGGAGATTGAAAGGAAAATGAAATTGTGTTATTTACTTCCCTGGCTCTGCTCCTGCCTGGTCACCATGGTTTGTCTGTGTCCCTCTTCTGAAGGCCATCCTATCAGGCACCGTTTCCAAGCAGTTATTTCAGTTACCCTCTCTGATTTCAAGTCCCTGCTGCCTCCCTTTACACCTTCTCACTTAGGGGTAGTAATGGCTCCCAGGTGTTACTAGCCCCAGGTTGGTTCATTACCCTTTGTTGGTTTCCCCGACCCCTGCCTATACATTTGTAAATAGTCTTTTTATTATACTCTTCTCAAATATCCCCATTTGAAGTTGCCCTTTATTTCTTTCTCAGACCCTCACTGATGAGTTCACCCATGTGGATGCTAGAAATACAGTACATTTCCCAAGTATATTCAATGGGACACATAACTTGTTTTATGAGAAAAACAAGTTATTTTATGAGAAAACAAGTTATTGGTGAAATTTGCTGCACATTATATTCCTCTCTTAGGGATTCAGAAAGCACAGGCATAAAAGTGCTGAAAAGTCCTGAAATAAATAAACATTTGGAACTTTGTTGAAGCTAGTATTTCTTAAACTTATTTGAATGAGTAATACCTACCAAGGTCCTGTGGAAATAGGATGTTTGAAACCTTGTAATTTAGAGCAATCCCTGATTGTATATATGTGGCAACTGAGACCTAAAGAGATTAAATGACTTACCCAAAGGTCACACAACTAGTTAGTGGTAGAACCTGGCCTGGAATCTGGGCCTTCCTCTTTCATTCAGCGAGGTCACTATTTTATTATGCTTTTCATAAAAAAGAATGTGGATTGGATATGGTTTGAACATTAGTAGCCCGTTAGTCTTAGCCATATAAACTAATTGGCTTGCCTATTTAACAGTTATTTTACAAGAATAGAATTAAGATGGATTTCTTCGTGTTTAGTACTTTGCCCTGGGAACAGAGGAAGGCCTGAATTGATTTAAGCAGGGTCAAAGTTGGATTTCTCTGGGCTAAAATTTGGGCTCCCTTGAGCCAAAATCAGTTGCCATTTAACTGGCTCTACAAACCAGCTAAACATAACAGTTAAGAAGGAGAGGGAAAAAAAACAACAAGCCTATTACTTAATTGCCCCCATCTCACAGCTGGAGAACCCACACACTTCATAAGAGCCCAATTTACAACTAAGGCCAGATAAAATCTCAAGTTCCCCAAAAACGTTAATAATACCTGTTACAACAATGAATTGGCTGTACTTGTCTTGTTTTTGTTTGGTTTGATAGACTGCAAAAATGGCCCTAATTCTTTACTCCTCCCTGTGTTCCTGATCCTTTTTCATGCTCCTTTATTTATTTATTTTATTATTATTGTTTTATTTTTTTTTTTGTGAGGAGGATTGTCACTGAACTAACATCTGTGCCAATCTTCCTCTATTTTGTATATGGGTCATCGCCACAGCACGGGTTGATGAGTGGTGTGTCGGTCTGTGCCCAGGATGCAAACCCACGAACCCCGACTGCCAAAGCAGAGCACACGAACTTAACCACTTCACCACTGAGCCCAGCCCCCATGCTCCTTTAAAGTGCCTTTTCACTCTGATTCTGGGCCATGTGTATTTCCACAGATTTAGTGTGTTTCCACTTACTCTTGTGCTTCTCTTGTCACCCTAAGCACATACATGGCTGGGTTAACCTGCTGGAGGGTGAGACATGCATAGATCAGAGCCAAGTTACCTTGGTCACCACAGCTGAATCCTTTCTAGATTGGCTGATAGCAACCCCAGATATGTGAATGATCCCAGCCAAGATCAACAGAGCCACCTAAGTGACACCTAACTGATTGCAGATGTGCGAGCAAGGGATATCTATTATGCACTGAAGTTTTATAGCTGTCTGTTATACAGCATTATTATGTCAATAGATATCTCATCTTTGGATACAGTATCAGACATACCTTTCTCAAGCACCTTCTCAGATTCTTGGCCTCACTGTTTCCAGGCCACCAGCCGCTTGCTTTCCCATAGCTACCACCCTCCATAGTGAGAGACTATCAGCAAGCTTGTGTGATTCCTCTGCCTGAGGTTAACTAGCCACATGCTCAGAATCCCTGACCCATCCCAACACTTCTGGACTCTAGGAAGTACCATGCCACAGGGCTCCTCCAGTGACTGTCAGAAGGGCTAGATGATGTAGTCTGGACAAGCAGTGAAGTTAACTGTCTGGAAAACTTAGATCAATGGACTAGAAGAAGCTATCAGATAAAGTCCTCTCCCTTCTTCTGATGGACTGTTTTGAGGCATAGTTTTCCACCATCTTGCCCTAAGATGTACCATGTAGCTAAGCAAGTGTACTTGCCAAATGATTGGCTTTTTGTGAAACAGAAGACGAGTACTATACAGTAATTTCTCAATATACATTTACTTCCCATCATGGCTAGCGTTACTTCCTTACTTCCTCACTCTCACCAGCCTGGATTGCCCCTTCTAATAAAGTGACAGATTAATTTTTGCCTCAGGCTCTTTTTTTCTAGGGAAGCCAGGTGTTTTAGTCTGGATTTGGTGAGGAAAGCAGATTCATTACAGGTAATCCATGAATAAAGAGGTTTAATAAAGGAATTAGAATTTACCCAAATATGAGAGTTGCTGAAGGAGTAAAGGTCTGGAGGACTGCAGCAGAAGAGGATTAGAGAAACAGTCACTAACTAGTTCAACCTGAGATGCTCAAAGTGCTCATAATGTAGTTTGTAGGGACATGTACATTTGGAGCATATTAAGTTTCTCATTCCCTTCATCTTTTTAGTCGCTCTTTGGTGCAGCTGAGAGGCATCCCCTTAATCCCTTCGGAGGTCTTAAAAAATGAGCCTATGGCTCTCCCTTTATTTGGTCTTTCCCTTCCAGCCTGTGGTAATGGCAGTACTCTATTTGGTCTTCGTCCTAAGGCTGCATTTAATGATCACACTTTTGATTTGGTAAAAACAATTTCATTTTCCAGCCTAGGCTCTTTATTCTCTTTCAACTCCATTTGCATACCCACCTCCTTATTTTTGAGCTTGTCTCTTTCTTATAGTACTTTATCAATTGCAGCTAATAGTAGCCAGCTTATTTCAAAATTCTGCCTCAAAATCTCACCCAGTGCCATGAGTACATTAGGTACATTTTCTGTCTTCCATGTTACTACAGGTGATAATTTCAGCAAATTTTTGCCTCTAAATACTGACAATTAAAAGACCCTGGTCTTTTCATTGTTTAGAATTGTTTAATTGTTTAATTGTTTTTAATTGTTTAAAAGTTTGGCTAAGCACTTAATGAACCTACAGTGAAGACCACCAGCCAAAAATCACCACCCATAAATAAGAGCCAAGTACCACTAGATACTTGGTGAAAGTCTCCAAATAGAAAAGAGGGGCCCAATAAATAAAGAGGGGGAAAATCCAGAGAAACAGACAAGCAGGGAACAAAGAAAACCTGAATATCTTTTAAAAATGGGTGGGTGGGGAAGTATATTATATTCACAAAGCAAGAATGGGATAGTATGAAAAAGAACAAGCAATAAGTGACAAAGAGGTCCTGTAAAATAAAAGTGTGACTGCTGAAATAAAAATCCAGTTTAAGATTGGAAGGCAAAATATAGCATATGTATAGAAAATTGTAAGTTCCAAATAAAGTCCAACCTTAGTTTAAAGTTGTAATTGAAATCATAGGCTACATGTTACATTGTGTGTAATAAATACCTATGGGGAAAGACATTTACTGACAATAGTGCTTATACTAGCCATTACCCTTTGTTCAGGAGAAAGTAAGAGATTGTTTGTATACCAGTTACCATAAATTCA